CCGGGTTCTAGTTCTGGTCGGGGCCCCGGATTCTGTCCTGGTTGCCCCTCTTCCAGGCCAACTCTCTGCTGTGGCCAGGGAGTGCAGTGGGAGGATGGCCCAAGTCCTTGGGCCCTGCAACCCATGGGAGACCAGGATAAGTACCTGGCTCCTGCCATCGGATCAGCGCGGTGCGCCGGCTGCAGCGTGCGGGCTGCGGTGGCCATTGGAGGGTGAACCAACAGCAAAGGAAGACCTTTCTCTCTCTCTCTCTCTCTCTCTCACTGTCCACTCTGCCTGTCAAAAAAAAAGAAATCCGGGTACTCCAATATGGGACTCTGGCATGCTAACCATTAAGCCAATGCCACCACCACCACCCTGGCATCACTTCCCAAGGCCCTGTGTTTCTTACTACAGGTAATAGCATGTTCTTTGGGGTCAGAAAAATCTACATTTGAAATGCAGCTTTGCATTTTACTGAATGTAAATGTCCCCAAATCTCTGCCCATCTGTAAAGTAGGAAGATAAAGTTCTACCTAATAAAGCTAGGTAAGAATTAGATGCAATGACAGATATAAGGCATTCAGTACACGTATGGCACACAGTCAGAACTCAATAAAGACATCAAAAATAAAATGCCATAAATGTCCCCGTTACTACCGCCAAGGCACACTGCTGAGGTTTCTCTCACCTTCTTGTGTGCAAATGACCCAAACTGTTCCCCATCCCCCTGCCCCCAATTCTCTCTCCTCTCCCCTCCTCCCCGTCCCTCCTTCTCTGTTTGTATCACCTCCCTTGCAGTCAATGGGGCGAGTTTATGCAGGCACCAGCTGAGCACCGGGACCCAACAAGACTCATCAGCCAGTGTCAACACTTAGCAGCCACTTTGTCCAACTCAGTAGGGCTAACAAATGGCTCTCAGGACAACTGTGACTTACCTGGTTGTCTAAAAAGCCAACGACATCAGGAGTGGGCATTTGATGCAGCAGTTAAGATTCAACTTGGGATAGCCACATCCTATCACAGAGGGCCTGGGTTCTAGTCCTGGCTCTGCTCCCCACCCCCGCTTCCTGCTAACATACACCCTAAGAGACAGCAAGTGATAGCTCTAGTACAGGGGTCCCTGCCACCCATGTGGGAGACCCGGACTGAGACTGAGTTCCTGGACCCTGGTTCTGGCCTGGCCCAGCCTTTGTTTTGGGTATTTGGGGAGTGAACCAGTGAATGGCAGCTCTCTCTCTCTCTCCCTTTCACACAAATTTTAAAAAAATAAATTAAGAATTGAAAGCAGCAATGTCAGAGTGACATATGTCCTGTGACCTCCATCTGACACGCAGAGAAGACGGAAAGAAGAGCCATGCCGAGATGGCCGAGACAGCAGTGGCCAGATCCGGACACCACCCAGGCACGTCCCCAGCCTCGGTTGCATCCCTGCTCTCCCCACCAGACCACATCTTTGTCTGGGGCGCTGAGTATCCTGGCCCCTTGCTCTCCAATCTTCTGTCCCATTGCCCCCTTCTCCCGCCGCAACCCACAAAGACATCCAACATCTATCACTTGGTGAAAGACACTTGCGCTCATGCCCTCTCATCTGTGCTAACCCCGACAGGGAAGACTCACTCACTCCCCCACGAGGGGATCCCAAGCCTCGGAAACATTAATGTGGGTGCCCACACTCCCTCCCCCCCAGGTCCTCACTGCCACAGGCAGGATTTGAACCCAGCTCTGATTCTGCAGCCTTGAGCGATGCCTCCCACCTGGGACTGGGAAGCCCACTTGGTCCTCAGTGACCTTGCCCCTCCCCTCCCCTCCCCAGTGGCCGCGGCTGCCGAGAAGGGACGCTGGCTGGGAAGCAGTGTCACACCACGGGCGCATTTGCTGGTGCCAGCTGCACACTGTTGCCGTCTCTACCAATGAAGCCGCCGAGTCCATGAAAGTAAATGAGGCTTTCCAAGAGCGGCTGCAATAAATTTAAATGGCATCGCCAGAGGGCTGGGAGACAGGCGCTGAGTCAGTGCCGCTCGCGGCAGGTCGACGGCATTGTCCCCATGACGTCATTCCCGGCTGTGTTGCCGTCATCATCACCACGGATGTTCTCTCATTCCAGCATCCCACAGTGGGGAGGGGCCGCGATGGCGCTGAGCGCGGTAGAAGTGCCCACAGCAACGTTTGCTGAGCGCTCTCTAGGGGCGATGTGCCATCCTCGGTGCTCTGCCCACATCAGCCGACTGAGTGAGGACGACCCTAGGGAATGGGGAAGAATGGACCCATTTGACAGTCGGGGAAACTAAGGCTCAGACGAGTGTCGCCCTGAACCAGCAATGGGCAGAACTGGATCTCAACAAAGTAAACAAAGCTGATTTCAAGCCTGGTTCCACCAGACAGCTGCTGGGGTCAGCGCGTGACCAATATTGCAGGCAGACGGAGGTGGGCGTGGCTGTAGCAGCTGGGACGCTGGTCGGGACGCTGCCTCCCATCTCACACCTGCCTGGGTTCCAGCCCTGGCTCCACCCCCTATTCCAGCTTCCTGCAGATGTGCATGCTGGGAAGTGGCCAGTGATGGCTCAAGTACTCGGGTCTCTGCCACTTACATGTTAAGACCCAGATGGAGCTTCCAGGTTCCCAGCCCTGGCTGTCGTGGACATTTGGGGAGTGAACCAGTGGGTGGGTGGGTGTATATGTGTCTGTCTCTCTCTGCCCAGCAAATAAATAAATACATTTTAAAGATTTATTTTGTTTATTTGAAAGGCAGAGTTGGGGGGGGGGGCAGGAATCTTTCATCCACTGGTTCACTCCCCGAATGGTCGCAGCAGCCAAGGCTGGGCCGATCTGAAGCCAGGACTTCTGGATCTCCCACAGGGGTGGTAGGAACCCAAGCACTTGCTTTCCCAGGCCATAGCAGAGAGCTGGATAGGAAGTGGAGCCGCCTGGACTCGAACCGGCGCCCATACGGGATGCCGGCATCGCAGGCGACGGCTTTACTCACTCCACCACAGCACAGGCCCCAATAAATACATTTAAAAAAAAAAAAAAAAACATTAGACAGGCCCTGAGTCTTGGGGATCATTAAACTTGTTTTACTGGAGTGGGGTGGAACCAAGGCGGTGTGTGCTCCACAGAGCAGACGCGTTGGATCCGGGATTTGGAGCTTTCTGGGGGCTGGCTGCACGCCGTGTGATCCTCTGTCCCTGTCGCTGGGCCAGGCAGCCCCGCGTGAGCCGGCTCTCTGGAGTGAGTGTGTGCTGAGTGAATGCGGTGAACCACATGCCTTTTAGGCTGACGGCATTTTCAGCTTGTGCTGGGTGTGTTGGGCTGTACCTCCACCGAGGAGCAGCCCGAGACAAAACCACGTCACAAGGGGCTCACAGGGTATGTGAGGCCCACGGGGACCTGGCCTGGCTTGAGCCCAAGGACCCGCTAGCTGCTCCCCCTGCCCCCTTGCTATTCCTGTCTTGCTTCAGCGGGGCCTCCAGGCTTCCAGGGTCTTCACCCATCCCTCTGTCTTGAATCTGCCTCTTGGCTGTGTGTCCCACACTGCTGCATTTGTATTAGTTTGTAAAACAGAAGAGCAGAAGTGTCCCCTGGATGCCCAGGGCAACATAACCCTGAGCTGAGGTACAGAGCTTGAAGAAAACGTGCCTCAGTTTACATCCCCACTCCTTCTACATTATTGGAGATCCTAGTGCAGTGCGCAACCCGCCCAACTGTGCATGATGATCCTGTCTGGTGAACAAGCTTCCCTCTCTCTGAGCATCACGTCCACTACAGCCGTTTCTGCTTTCCTGGCCCTCCACCACCTTCAGTGCACGTGCAGCCAGACTGCGAGGGTCTGAAGCTCTTGGTTCCTGTGAGCCTTGTGCTTAGCTGGTCTCAGCACAATCACTCTGGGGTCTTCATGGAAAGGAGGGAGGGAGGCATGAAGACAGAAATGAAGCAAGAAGAGAAAGAGAGGACGGGGCCGGCACTGCGGTGTCCTGGGTTAGTCCTCCACCTCCAGCACCGGCCCCCAGATGGGCACCGGTTCGAGTCCCGGCTGCTTCTTTCTAGCCAGCTCCGTGCTGATGGCCTGGGAAAGCAGTAGAGCGTAGCCCGAGTCCTCAGGCCCCTGCACCCACGTGGGAGACCTGGAAGAAGCTCCAGGCTTCTGGCTTTGGATCGGCGCAGCTCTAGCTGTTGCAGCCATCTGGGGAGTGAACCAGCAGATGGAAGACCTCTCTCTCTCTCTCTCTCTCTCTCTCTCTCTCTCTTGCTCTCGCTCTCCCTGCCTCTCCAATAAATAAATAAATCTTTTTAGAAAAAGAAGTAGAATATTCGGACAAGCAAACAAGAAATAGAAAGAGGAAAGCAGGAGAAAAGTGTTTCTTTTTTTTTTTTCTATTGATTGATTTGAGAGGCAGAGACAGAAAGACAAACAGACCGACAGAGCACCCATCTGCTGGTTCACTCCCCCAAATGCCCGCAGCAGCCAGGACTAGGCCAAGCCAAAGCCAGGAGCTGGAACTCAGCCTCCTGTGTAGGCAGCAGGGGCCCAAGTACTTGAGCCTCCTGGGGTGTTGGGAGGTTGGAGTCAGGGGCTGGGGACAGGGGCTGGGGAAAGGGGCTGAGGACAGGGGCTGGGGACAGGGACTGGGGGCAGGGGCTGAGGATAGGGGCTGGGCACAGGGGCTGGAGGCAGGGGCTGGAGGCAGGCATTGGCTCCAGGCACTCTGAAGCAGGACAGGGCATCTCAGCGCCAAGGCCAAATTCACGCCCCAAGGAGATGACTAGGAGGCCGTCCTGGCAGGCCACCCATGGCACCCTTAGGAGGCCCGCCCTCCGCGTCTGGCAGAGTTGGAAGCCGTGACCCCCTAGCCCCGAGCCGACTGCTGTCTTTTCTCTCCTTCCAAGATGCCAGCCCAGAGGGAGACACCAGCCCCTCGGGTCCTGCTCTCCTGCCTTCCGAGGCTCTGCAAGGTGTCAGCCCGGGCCAGGAGAGCTCCGAGGAGCGGGCGATCGCGGTACCTCCACATCCCACCCCGTCGGACGAAGAAGAGTTTGGCGAGCTGGAGACGGAGGGGACAGCGGCCCCTGCTGGGCCTGAGCTCCCAGCGCTGTCCTCCGCGCCACCCGAGGAGGCGGCCACCAAACACCCCAAGTTCCCTCGGAAGAAGCCGCCTTCGCTGAAGCAGGTGAACTCAGCCCGGAAGCAGCTGAGACCAAAGCCCAGCTCTGCAGCGGCCACCCAGAGGGCAGGGTCCCAGTCCTCGGGCCCGGCTCTCCTCCCCTCCTCCACGGAGAAGTCCCAGCCCCCGGGAGACCTGGGCCACATCATGGCCGCGGAGCCGTCGTCAGAGATGCCCCTTTGGTTGGACCGCAGGCAGGGAGCCGTCCCCACAACGCCTGCACCCCTGCAAATCGCCCCCTTTACCTCACAGCCCTACGTGGCCCACACCCTGCCCCAGAGGCCCGGCTCCGAGGAGTCCACAGCACCTGACGCTGAGGCCCGCCAGCTTCCCCCCGAGGACGCCAGCCCTGTAACCCTGATGGACAAAGGGGAGAACGAGCTGACCGGCTCAGCCTCGGAGGAGAGCCAGGAGACCACCACGACCACCATCATCACCACTACAGTCATCACCACTGAGCAGGCCCCAGGTAGGCAACTGGCCCCAACTCCCCCAGCCACCCCCCTCCTCACACCGGCTGGGAGGTGCCCAGGGCATGGGGGTGGAGGACTCCCTGGGAAGCCCAGGCCCCACCGGCAGAGTCCAGCTGTTGAGCCCCGGCTTGGTGCCGGGCCTTGTGGCTCAGAATTGATAATCTCGTGTTAAGGATGAGACAGAAGCCAGCAACTCTGTACCCCCACATCTACAACCGAGTGCCTGGGTTTCAGTTTCTGTTCCACTCTCCACGCCAATATCCTGCCAATGTGCACCCCACAAGGCATCGGGCGAGGGCGAGGGTCCCGTGGGAGACCTGGATGGAGTTCCCAGCAGGCATTTGGGGAGTGAACCAGCAGGTGGGAGATTCTGCCTTTCTCTCTCTCTCTCTCTGTCTCTCTCTCTCTCCTTTTCAAATAACTATACATCAATAAGTAAAAATTTGAAGATGAGAACAGTTGAGACCTTGTTGCCCCAAGTGACCACACGAGGCCACACAGCAAGTGAGTGGAGCGAGTGGACCCGAGGCCTCTTGACCGCAGAGCAGGATTCTGTAACCCCCCTTTGCGGAAGTGCTTAGCTCGTCCCCTCTGCAGTCCGCCCCTCCACAGCAGCAGAGTCTGAACACGTGTGGTTATTCCGTGGGCAATGCCGCCTGGCCCCTGTGTATGGAGCAGCCAGGTTGGGTCTGGTGTTGCAGGCATTTAGAGAGGATTTGTCGGATGCGGGAGGAGGTGCCCGGGCTCTGTGCAAATACCGCGCCACGGGAGGCAAGCGGTGCACTGCGCAAGTGCACTCCGCAGGGGTCCCAGCGGAACCCAGCCCCTCCGTTACCCACGGATGACGCCCCATGAATAGCCCCAGATTTGTGATACCATGCACTCGAATGAACAGCAGGGGGAGGGCCGCCCACCTCGGAGCTCCGGTCTGCGAGGCTGTGCATCCTGATCCGAGCTCTTGCCCGCAGCTCTGTGCAGCGTGAGCTTCTCCGACCCGGAGGGGTACATCGATTCCAGTGACTACCCCCCGTTGCCCCTCAGCAGCTTCCTGGAGTGCACCTACAACGTGACCGTCTACACCGGCTACGGGGTGGAGCTCCAGGTAACCCCGCAAGCGTGCTTTTGTTTTTTCCTTTTTTGCTCTGCCTCTCCCAGCAGGAAGTCCCTGGACGATCATCTGAGTCTGGCCAGCTAGTAGCATCCTAGTTAGTCTGGGTCTCTCTTTGTTCTACCGGGGGCAATTTTAGCTGGGTTTGTGGTAAATGAATAGGAGTTCCTGAGTCAGTGTCCTGCTGAAATAACTCGAAGCACAGTGGGAGTGGCCCGCCGAGGTCAAGGGGGACGCTGCAGGGGGGGATGAGGGGCGGCTACAGCCTGGGAGGGTCAGGATTCATCTCAGAGTTTCTCTCTGCTGCCCCCTGCCGGTCCCCAGGTGAAGAGCGTGAACCTGTCCGAGGGGGAGCTGCTGTCCATCCGCGGTGTGGACGGCCCCAACCTAACGGTCCTGGCCAACCAGACGCTCCTGGTGGAGGGACAGGTGGTCCGCAGCCCCACCAACACCATCTCGGTCTACTTCCGCACCTTCCAGGACGAGGGGCTTGGCAACTTCCAGCTGCACTACCAAGGTAGGGCCTGATACAAGGCTGTCTGCCTCAGTTTCCCCATGCAGCCAATGATTCTCCAGCATTTCAGAGCCAGAGACCACCGTCCCTCCCCTTGGCAGTTTGGCAAAACCTTAGAGTTATGTTTTTAAGATGACACAAGAAAAAGTACACGATTTTAGAAGCCAGTCGTATAGAATTATGGTTGTCAAAATATTGTTCTAATCTATATCACGATCCTTGTGCTCTTCATGCATTCATTAAATAACAATAAATCCTAGAAGTTCTGGTAATTACTGCAATTTCAGAGTACCAAGGAGCATAAGAAATATGTCAAGATATCCGTTCTGACACGGAAGTGTCTGGATTTCTCTTGCTGGCGGTCAGAGTCTACCCGTACGTAACAGCTTGTCGCCTGGATTCATTGATTAAGCAAAATACCAGTGCTCGTTGGTGGTCAATGAGATTAAGCGAGCATAGTTTCCCCTACGAGGGATCCCGGGCCCTGGGCGAGGTCCCAGGGCTGCCCCCCAGCTCCTCCTCTCCAGCCTCCCCCTCCTGCTCCTCGACTGTTTCAAGTCTCCTCCTCTCTTGGGCTCAGTCTTCTCTCATCTTCCTTCCTTTCTCCCTCCATCCCTCTACCTCCTTCTTCCTTCTCTTATTTCTTCCTTGCCTCTCTCCCTTCCTGCCTCCTCTCCCTCCATTCTCTCTTCCTTCTCTCTCTCCCCCCCACCGTCCCATTCCCCTGGTTCTCCCTCCTTCTCCCATTGCTCCTCTTCTCATTCTCTCCCTCCCTCCCTGGGAAGTTCCTATGACCCTGGAGTTCCCCTTGGGCATTTGCCAGCTGCCGAGATCCCAGAATAGACAGGGGAGAGGTCAGTGCGCATCTGCCCATTGTGGGCCGTCCACACCACGGGAGCCACACATCCTGGAGGACGATTCATTTTTAACTTCTGCTCTCAGTCTCTGAAATCTGTGGGCAGCTGTATGAGGGGACCTCCAAAGGTTTGCAGCAGACATGGAATTAAGAGAGAACTCAGGCGCTGGCGTGGTCTTAGAGTCTGCGTCTTTAACAACCACCTAAGATGTGCATGCAGGAGAGGGCGGCAAATGCAGCATGCCAACTCACACTCCCCCCACACAACACACACACACCTGCTGTCCCGGGCTACACAGGATGGAGCTGGAGCCCAAGAAAGTGCTGGCCTGGCAGCTTCAGCGCCGCAGACAGGCGGAGTCACAAAGACACCCTTCTCGGTCCTCCCGTGTCCTGGGGGCCTTGTCTTTACTGGCTCCTGGGAAATGGGTCATGATCTCCAGCAAACTCCCCTGCCCACATATGCACACACACGCACACACCACACACACACATACACATGCACACACACATGCATGCACACGCATGCACACACATGCACATCCACACATGCACACGCACACGCGTGTGCACACACACACGCACGCACGGCCTGACTCTGTCTGCCTTCGCATCTCTTCCCAGCCTTCATGCTGAGCTGCAGCTTCCCGCGGCGGCCCGACTCCGGGGACGTCACCGTGATGGACCTGCACGCAGGCGGGGTGGCCCACTTCCACTGCCACCTGGGCTACGAGCTCCAGGGTGCCCAGACGCTGACCTGTATCAATGCCTCCAAGCCCCATTGGAGCAGCCCGGAGCCCGTCTGCTCAGGTGCGTGCCTGCGTCGGGCTCACCAGACGCAAGGGTGCGGTCAAGAGGCGAGAGACCAACCCCCACCCCACCCCCACCCCCACCCCCGGAAATTGGGCGGGACCCCCAGGAATGGCTCACCAACATGGCTGCTGGTCAGAGAGCATAGGTTGCCCGTCGTAGCTGAACACCTTCTAAGTGCCGGGTTATGAGCCACGCGCAAAGATCATGCTGGCAACAGGAAAGCATCATTCCTGCCTTCCAGCCCTCACAGTCAAGTGCGATGTAAACAGCGCAGGAGAGCTGATGATAAATTCTGAGATTTAATTATTGCCGTTTTGATTCCCCCAAGGCCCTTCGGAATTTTTCCTTCTTTTTTCTTTTAAGGAAATAAAAAAAATCCAAATCACAGGGCAGTTGGCCTCCGCGCCTCTCTTGTGTTAATTTTTATCTATGTGTGAAATCAGAGAGGAATTAAGCCTCCATTTGTGCTAAGAAAGATGGATGGGGAGCCAGGGCTGGCAAATGGAAGGCAAACAGAGCTATCAGTCGGCTTAATAAGGCAGAGAAGGGAGCGGAGGGGAACGAAGCCCGCAGCAGTGGAGAGGACAGATGGCAGGGTCCTCCAGCAGGGACCAAGCCCCGCAGCTCTGGGCTCCTGGGCCACGGGGCAGCGGTGCGTGCTGTGCATCCAGCCCCTATGCTGTGCCAGGTGGCACCGAGCTCTCTGTAGACGCCGTCGCACTGAGGTCCCATCAGGGAGGGTGGGGTGATTATCTCCATTTCACGGTGGGCAAACCTCAGGTGCAGAGAGCTTAAGGGACTTATCCCAGACCCACATGAGATCCGTGGCCCCAGTGAGGTTTGGACGCGGAGCTCGCTTACTTGGGAGGACAATCGCTCCACTGGTAAGACGCGAAAGGAAAGCTTCTACTGCTCTATGCGTCACCCCCCAAGAAGCACTGAAATCTAGGGTGCTGTCTTTGCTGTCAGTCATAGCAAAAAGGAGGGCAAAAGCACCCTCTTCTCTTCCTGAAATCCTAGTTAGTCCTAAAGTCATTCAACAAACATTCCATGTGCACCTGCTGTTGATTGACAAGTCTTGATCTGGAACTAGAGGAACAAAAAGGGGGAAAATGCGTTTTTCATTCAGCAAACACCCACCCAATTATGTGCCGTGCACTTTTCAGGGTTAGCAGAAAGCTTCATTAATAAGACGCAAGGTGGAGTAGTGGCTCCAATAACAGACTCTGGAGTGAGGCCGACAGAGCCGAAGTCCCAGCTGTTCCTCTGAGTGTGTGTCCTTGGGCAGGTGATTTAAAGATTTATTTATCTACTTGAAAGTCAGGGTTCCAGAGAAGAGGCAGACATAGAGACAGACAGAGGTCTCCCATCTACTGGTTCATTCCCCAAACTGGCCACAATGGCCAGGGCTGAACCAGGTCGAAACCAGGAGCCAGGAACTTCTTCTGGGTCTCCCACATGAGTGGCAGGAACCCAAGGTGATTAACAGGGAGCTGAACCAGAAGTGGAGCAGCTGGGACATAACCCAGCACCCATACAGGATGCTGGTGTTACAGGCAGCAGCTTTACCCACTACACCACAATGCTAGCCTGGAAAGCTATACTTTATAGAGGGAGAAATCTATAATGAAGCAACTAATCAAAGACGTATGTTCTATTTCTAGCCAGTCATGAGTTATGAAGAAAGGCTGAGGAGAATACAGAGAACGAGATGATGGGGGTGGGAGAGCAGAGACGCAGATGAGAGAACACGTGAGAATAGCTCGATGCTATCTTCAAAGTCAACTTCAAAGTGTTTTTCTTATACTTCATTTATCTCACAGTAAAGATAAAATAACTTCTTTTTAAAAACATGACTTATTTATTTGAAAGGTAGAGTGAAAGAGAGAGAGAGAGAGAGAGAGAGAATCTTCCATCAATTGGTTCATTGGTTCACTCCCCAAATGGCTGCAACGGCTGGGGCTGGACCAGGCAGGCCAAAGCCAGGAGCTCCCTCTGGGTCTCCCATGTGGGTGCAGGGGCTCAAGCACTTGGGCCATCTTCCCCGCTTATCCAGGTGCATTTGCAGGGAGCTGGATTGGAAACAGGGCAACCAGGACCTGAACAGGTGTCCGTATGGGATGCCAGTGTTGCGGGTAGCAGCTTAACCCGCTGCACCACAGTGGGGACCCCAGGTTCAAGCTCTTGAGCCCTCCACAGTCTGGCTCCAATCGGGCTGCCCGACTTACACTCCTGCAGTCCTCTGGAAATGAATGATTCTTCCTGCTTTTTCAAGGCTGGCTGCTTGGGAAGGAAGATATTGCAGGCTTCCTTGATCTTCCTAAAATATAGAAATGGTTCCCTAGGCTTCAAACCCTGGTCTTGGCACTGGACTTGACCCAACCATGAACCTGGCCTGCATCTCACCCTTCTTCCTCCCGGGCTGCCTGCCCAGCCCTGTGAGAGATGCCTGCCGCCTACCAGCTCTTTTTGGGTTTGAAAAATTCACAGTAGCTCTCCTAAACAATACATGAAAAACAATTTCCTAAGAACCAAATATTTCCTAGGAACAACCTCCTTATTTGTGAACTGCAGAGGCTGTGTGGCTCTTTCCATTGCACAAATCACTTTTCAGTATTCCCCTATTAGATTTTGTACGATCAAACTCATATAGGGTTCTAGTAAAAACAAGTTTTCAATACAAAAATGTGGATGGTAGGAGCAAATAACTTTTCTATTCATGGTCTCAATTGATCCTTGCAAATAGCTCATTGAAACAGATATGAGAGACCATTTTCTAACTTCAATTTTTTTCACCTAAAAAGTAGTGAGTGTTTTCTTATATTCTTTGAGAATGTGATCTTTAATGACTATATAGCGGGAGTGCTTTTATTTTACCAAACATTTGGAAGTAGATATTCATGTTGTTCCTTGCTTTTCACTCTTTTTTATGAAGATTTATTTATTTGAAAGGCAGAGTTATAGAGACAGAGACAGTTACAGGGAGAGATCTTCCATACACTGGTTCACTCCCCAAATGGCCGCAATGGCCAGTACTGGACCAAGCTAAAGCCAGGAGCCTGGAATTCCAGGGGGCCCAAGCACTTGGGCTGTCTTCCATTGCTTTCCCAGGTGCATTAGCAGGGAGCTGGATCATAAGTGAAGCAGCCGGGACTTGAACCGGCACCCGGGTGGGATGCCAACATCACAGGTGGTGGGTGACTTAACCCACTGAGCCACGACGACAGCCGCACTTTTCACTCTCAGTAACACAGTGGCAGTGAATGCTCCCATCCACAAGTCCTTGTGCAAATCCCAAAGTCTCTTCTTGGGATAAATTTCCAGATCCGTAACTCCTAGGTCAGAGTGTTTGAAGATATTTTCTAGACTTTTCACTAAATTGCCCTCCTGAAAGATTGATGTGCTCTCTAGTCTCGGAATAAGAGGGACTATTTCCCATCCCTTTACCAAGTGAAGATTCTGTTGCTGCTTTTAATCTTGACAAATTAGGTGAGATGAAAGCGTATACTATCGACTTGCATGTCTTTTATTTGGAGTGAGGTGGAATTTTTTTAGTGCTCTCTAAGTACTAAAAGCATATTTCTCCTTTGGGAAATTGCCTAGTAATGTTCTTCTTGATCGTCATTTTATAATTAAAAGTCTGGGCACAGCTAGCACCATGGAAGAAGCCTTCAATTGCAGCCATTCCCTGCCACAAAATAGACATATTGATGGCTCTAGTTATAGAGGGAGGTCCGCTGGCAGATAGCATGACCCCTCCTCCAGGCAGAACAAGCCCCTTCCGAGCTCTGCTTCCTGCTCCCTGTTTTTCTCATCTTAGGTCTCATGCTTCACCCTAGCTAGGGGATAGGAGATAAGGATGGCACAGGGAGAATAAAACACTCATCTCTCTCTCTCTCCCCCGCCCCCATTGCCCACACCCCCTGCTCTCTGGACCCAGCCCCCTGTGGAGGAGCAGTGTACAATGCCACCATCGGCCGTGTCCTCTCCCCGAGTCACCCTGGAAACGCCAACGGGAGCCAGTTCTGCGTGTGGACGATCGAGGCCCCAGAAGGCCAGAAGCTGCACCTGCACTTTGAGAGGCTGTCGCTCCACGAGAAAGACAGGTGAGCCTCTGGAGGTTCCAGCTCCCTACCCCACCAAGCCCCATTCCCTCCCTGCACATTAGAACACGCCTAGGGGTTTGCAATCTTGCTCATGGAAGTCAAGAGAGGAAGAGGTTGGAGGATGGCAGGGATCTGAGCGGGCATTGGCTTCCACCTCTTCCTGTTATGGATAAGGAAGTTGGGGCTTATGGGGGAAGGGGCCTGCCCCAGGATACACAGCAGAATAGGAAGAGAGAGGCCAGGAGGGAAGCAAGGTACCAGGACATCGCCCTCCCTTGTTCTCTCAACTGGGCATCCCTTTCCACCACTGAACAGGCAGGGGAGTGTTCACTGGGCATCTGCTCTGTGCTTGGCTTCTCAGCAGCAGCGGAGCAACCTGGGGCTTCATTAGACACCAGGTTCCCAGCCTTCCTTCTGGGGAGGCTCAGGGAGAAGCCAGGACACTGCTGCTGCAGACTGAATCCCTGAGGGTGTCTCTTCCGAGCAATGCTGCCGATGAGCCAAGCCTAAGTTCACAGCCAGCAACACACATGAGCAGAGAGGCACGGGGAGTTGACCACAGTGAGCATGGTGTGAACGCTCCCACAATGGACCACACGGGCCCCTGGGCACAGCTCACTTAGGGGGCCCTGCAAACAAACAGCTGTGGAAGGGAGGTGTTGACATTGACCATGGAACACTGATTTCTCAAAGATGTCAGCTGGGAAAGAAGTTCGTAATAGCTCATGGAGGTCAAAGGTGAACACACACCAAGAAAGATGGAGGCATCCGCTGTGCTGGGAAGGAAACGCAATGGTATCTGCCCCCTGCATTTTACTGAGGGAAAGGGCAGTTAAAGCACCACACCCTGTCCATCGCCAGAGGCAGAGCTAGATGAGAAATGCCACTTGGAGAGAGTGTCAGGAAGAGGCTGGGTAACGGACCCCAAAAACACAAGGAGGGGGTATTCCAAGGGTGGATAGCTCAGAGGAGTAGACAAAAATATGGAGAGGGGTGGAATGGGGAAGTCTGTAGCAGGGGTTCTTGGGGATACCAGGAAGACAGAAAGCTGGGGAGGTTCACAGAACTTGCGTCCTGAGCACTTTGAATGCCCAGCTGCTTCCGTGGGCAGCAGAGGTGTGGAAGGGCTTTGCGTAGTGGAAGGACATGAAGGAGGGTTTTTCAGATGGTTTCCCACAAAGTGAGGTCTTCCCCCACTGCGGTGCCGTAATCTGCGGCGTGCCGGGTGGGTCCTGCGGTCAGAGTGTCTGGGAGACAACGCCGTTGCCCAGCCCAGCCCAGCCCAGGCCTTTCTTGGGACGTATCCCGAGACACACGAGCCAGCAAAAGCACGGAGCCCTGCAGGAAAAAAAAATATGTGAAATTTGCATTTAACCCACTGTGTCCCAAACCCATCTGACCACAGACTATACAAGGATGTGAGATGAAACTAATTACGGTGGCAGACATTCCAGGGACAGAGCTGGAAAGATGCTATTTTTGGAAGATTAATAGACTACAGAGAATCAGGGACCGTGCTGTTTCCTCTTTGTCAGCGGCTTCTGTTCTTTGCTGGAACAGTCCTGGTGCACAGCCTTCAAGATACAAGAGGGTCAGCAGGGGTCAGGAGACTGCGGGGGTTCCCCTCCCCACCCCGGGTGACCCTTGACCTCGACTGCAGACTCAACTCGTCTCCGTGGTACCTGATGCGAGATATTTGGAACAAATCATGGCTCCAACATGCACGCATCTTGGTCACATCCGAAATTCATCCGGGCAACATAAAATCAACCCTTTTATGAATCACAGTAACAAACTCAAAGGATTAAAAAAAAATCTGTGTTTATGACTCCATAAAAGAAAGTGAACTATTTTGTATACTGTGTTCTCCCCTACTGAGGCATAATTTCTTTTTAAAAAGAAAGAAAGAAAAAGACCAGGCGTGTAAGGAGTCAAGTACTCTGGGCTTTTTATAACCACAAAAAGAAACGCCCAGTGCTTTTGTCTAAAACACTTATTTTTTCGGGGAACTTTAGTTGGTCCTATTCTCAAAACCTACCCATACAAGAGGCTGGAAAGATGGTATAATCCTGCCTTCCACCATTTGGGAAATGGAGGCTGAAAGATATTTTGATATTTATGTAAATCCGGTCCATGGGGACTTAGCAACTGGACATCAGGTCTCCTGACTCCCCCCAACAGTGCTCTTGGGGTACAGGGATCAGCGGCAGAGCCTTCGGAGGCAGAATGCGCAGTAAATACCACTTGCCACCGACTCTGTCCTGAGCACGTTGCACCCGTGGTCTCTTGCCCCCCTCCTAGATAAGGGGACAGAAACACAGAGGGGTGGAACATCTTTGTGCAGAGAGGCCCACAGCTCGGAAGTCCTGCAGTCGATGCTAAACCCAGGTCCACCTGACTCTGCGTGCTGCTGTTGCTGCCCCAGCATCTCAATTAAACAACCAACATTAGTTCCTTAGTCTGGCTCATGGCATCACACACGTCACTGCCCCTACAACCTCAGAACAAGTCTGTGAGGGATCTGGGACAGGCACTTAGTCACATCCTCCAAAGGAGGGAACAGGTCCAAGCAGGTGACGCGGCTGTGTCCAGGCCCACACAACAGTCACGTGCTCCCTCCTGCCGCTGTGTGTTGGGGGCCCAAGAAGACTTCTCAGAGCCCCTGCTCTCTGTTCCCACCGCCAGGATGACGGTCCACAGCGGGCTGACCAACAAGTCGGCTCTTCTCTACGACTCCCTCCAAACTGAAAGTGTCCCCTTCGAGGGGCTGCTGAGCGAAGGCCACACCATCCGCATCGAGTTCACGTCCAATCAGGGCCAGGCGGCCTCAGCCTTCAACATCCGATTTGAGGGTGAGGATCTCAAGGGCAGAGGGGCTCTCTGCCTCTGGGGGTGGTCACTGGGGAGCCCAGGAAGCATGCAGGGGTTGGGGCTGGGTCCGGGGGAGGTGGGATTTTGTGCTGCCAAGAAAGGAGGGGACGCAGTGGCTAGATGGGTCCTGTCCTCTCCCAGGACCGCCTTTGGCTTTATTAGTGGCAAGGTCTACCATTTACTGAGCACTTAGCCTATACCTAGTACCGGTCCTGCCTCACCATACTGATATGTTAGAACTGTTATTATCTCTGAAATCCTGAGAACTTGAATACGATGCCGAATGCCACCACATAGCAGACTTGGAACAAAATGCCTGTCTCCCCTGTGTTGAGTCCTTAAGCTCTGCCCCCAGCTCTTAGATTCCTGCCACCTGTTGCCCTAAGGAGAATTAGCAGGGCCAGAATTGTGATGCAGCCCGTTAAGCCACTGCCTGCAGCATCGGCATCTCACATCAGAGTGCCAGTTTGAGTCCCAGCTGCTCTGCTTCCGATCCAGCTCCCTGCTAATGTGCCTGAGAAGGCAGTGGAAGATGGCCCAAGTGCTTGGGCCCCAGCACCCACATGAGAGACCTGGATGGAGTTCCATGCTCTTGGCTTCAATCTGGTCCAGCCCTGGCTGTTGCAGTCAGTTGGGGAGTGAACCAGAGGATGGAAAAATCTCTCTGTGTGTCTCTCTCTCCCTCACCCCTGTCACTCTGCCTTTGAAATACATAAAATAAATCTTTTATAAAAGAAGAATTATCAAGGGCCTTTCCTGCTCAGATGCCGACCCTGTCAGGAAGGTGGCCCTGGGTGTTTCCTGTGGTTGGGGGTGGGGGACTTCCTGTCCTGGCTTCCCCAGGAAACACTGGCTTCATCATAGGCAAACGTTTAGTTTCCAGGGACAGACTCAGGACTCTGCAGCTATGGGGTAGGAAATAGAATCAAAAATTCCAACTTTTAGATGTGAAGCAAGATGAGGTCAGCCGGCACCACAGCTCACTTGGCTAATCCTCTGCCTGTGGCGCCAGCACACAGGGTTCTAGTCCCGGTTGGGGTGTCGGTTCTGTTCCGGTTGCTCCTCTTCCAGTCCAGCTCTCTGCTGTGGCCTGGGAAGGCAGTGGAGGATGGCCCAAGTGCTTGGGCCCTGCACCTGCATGGGAGACCAGGAGGAAGCACCTGGCTCCTGGCTTCAGATCAGTGCAGCACGCCAGCTGTAGTGGCCATTTGGGGGGTGAAAACCTTTCTCTCTCTCTCTCTCTCTCTCTCTCTCTGCCTGTCAAAAAAAAAAAAAAAGATGAGGTTAAGAAGCCAAGTGCATGTCCCATGGGAGCTCAGCAGGTGGGCACTCAGACCTGGAGCATGTGACCTGGTGTTGCTTTCCTAAACAGCCAGAGGGAGGGGAGCCACCTCCCCTGCAGCCCCGGAGGGCGGCTCCTGACTCTTCCCAGCTACATTCTGTCATTTGATCCCCACCCTAGCCTTTGAGAAAGGCCACTGCTACGAGCCCTACATCCAGAACGGGAACTTCACCACGTCCGACCCCACCTATAACATTGGGACCATCGTGGAGTTCACGTGCGACCCCGGCCACTCTCTGGAGCAGGGCCCAGCCATCATCGAGTGCATCAATGTGCGGGACCCTTACTGGAACGACACGGAGCCCCTGTGCAGAGGTGAGCATGGCCACCGCCCTCTGCCTGGGGCACCCGAGGACTCCCATGTCTTCCCATGAGGAGATTCAGGCCCCAGGCTGGAGACATGTCCCCAGCTTGCACACCGACTGTAGGATGAGAATCCTTTCCAGGGAGTACTGTCTTTGCAGTGTGGCTACTGCTGATTCTCGGGGGAGATTACAAAACAGGTACATTTTAAAAAGTGCCCCTTCCTCCAGGCATGCACCCCATAATACACAGCTTGATGAGCAGCTCACTGCCCGGATATCAGCTCCTACACACTCCCCTTGTTGTGCACTCTTGTGCAGTGCACAACCCACCCAACAGCCATGGCTGCCCCAAGTCTCACTGATACTAATGATTATAATAGTTATTAATAGGCAGGCAATAATTACGTGCTCTGCCATGGGTTGTGTGTGAATTTCCCTCACCGCAACCTTGACAGGTAGATATTCTGAGCCCCTGTTATGGAGACAATGAAATGACAAGTCTAAGAGAGCGCATTGGAGGAGGAAGAGATGGAAGTTAGGACTGTACATTCTGAGACCGGGGCTCTGAACCCCTCTGGGCAATGTTGGCTGTGTAGACCCTTGTCTACACAGGCTCCCAGTCCTCTCTGCTCTGTTTCCCTGCGATCAAGGCTCCTGAGCCAGCCCAAGCCTGGCTCTCCAGGCACTGTGTGGAGTAATGAAGGGTGCCCTTGCTCCTTGGCAGCTGCACCCTGCACAGTGGCTGGCATGAAATTGCAGCCTTGCCATGGTGAGGGATTGAGCCCTGTATTAAATGTGCTGGTTTAACAGAGCGGAATTTATTGGTGCTTTAGCCTCTGCCATGTTGAGAACTTTCCAAAGCAGTCAACGCAAAGCGGAAGTTTAGTAGCTCCAGACAGAGCCACTTCCCTGCTCCCAGTGCCGAGTGGAAGCTGAACAGTAACGCTCACTAACGTATTGAGTACCTGCCACATGCCAGGCACCGAGATGTCTGGTGAACACTCAATACGCTCAATCAAACCTCGACAAAACCCAAGGAGGTAGGCGGTGGCATTACCACTGTTTTATATAGGGAGCTGAGGCTCCAAGGAGTTGCATATCCCATCCTACCACCTGTTGTTGGCAGACACAAGCCCAACACCAGGGCTCAAGTGACTTGAGTGTACCGTCTCTTACTCCCCACCAAGAAGGAGAGCAGAGCCCTTGAGTCCTTCAGCCTGCAGAGCGCTGTCCTTGGTCCTGAAATAGCCACCGTTCCTCCCTACCTTTCACCAACCCTCAGCTAAAGAGAGGCAGGTGGCCAGCTCTCATCTAGTCATCCCACACACTTGTCCTGACTGCCAAGATGAATTCACCCGCCTGTGGGACCCCAAGAGCCACTGCTGCCTGACGTGATGGCCCGCGGTCTTACCTACTATGTCGTGTTGGGTTCCTTACACATAATGTCTGTCTTTTACAGCCATGTGTGGTGGGGAGCTCACCGCCATGGCTGGGGTGGTGCTTTCCCCGAACTGGCCGGAGCCCTACGTGGAAGGTGAAGATTGTATCTGGAAGATCCATGTGGGGGAGGAGAAACGGATCTTCCTGGACATCCAATTGTGAGTGTTTTTGATGGGCAATCCGCCCCCATTCAATCAGCCGAATTTCAGAGCTGAGGGAAGACATTGCTTCTACTGTATTCTTTCAGGTCATGTTACTTAAGTGTCTGCCAGGTGCCAGGTACTGAGCAAAGGGTTGGAGTCCCCATGAGAAAACCAGCAATAGCAGCAGACACACAGAGTCCCAGTCTTTGAGAAATTCAGTCTATTCAGGAGAGAAATATTAAATGAGAACATGGTCAAATAATTGCATTCTGTAACTGTAATAAGTGATGTATGGAAAGAGTTGTGAGCTATGGAATTCTACAAGGGGAGTTGATATAAAGAGAAAAATCGAAAAGGATTCCCTGGGCATCTGTTCTGCAAGCTCGGAACTAAAGTATGTGTTGGAGTGAAGCACTTGGAAAGAAAGTGATGTGCAAAGGCCCTGTGGCAAGAGCAAGTGTGTCATTTGCAAAAGACTGAGTGGCCAGTGTGGCCAGGGAGAGGAGGGTACTACAGGGACCTCACGGTCCTGCAACAGTTTGTTTTCCTGTCTGTACCCCTCCATTAAATCAAAAGTTCCTCTAGGTCATGGCTTGGTCTGGCTTGTAGGATTGAATTCAGAGCCTGAAACTTAGTTGCTGTTCATGAAATGGTGCTTGAATGGAGTGTTGTGATGAATGGACTTACCTGGCTGTGTGACTGTGTTCCTGTCTTCGGTGAGGGAAACTGTGAGATGCCTCTGCCAGAATTTCCCCCCTGCTTCCCCAGGTCAGCTGTTCTCTTCGTAGAAAGTAGGGCATCCCGCCCCTGCAGCAGATGCAGAGGGTTTGATCTGAACATTCGTGCCACAGGCCATTCTCACAAAGAGCCCTGCATGAAGGGGCGTGATACCCATTGTCTAAATGGGACTGCAGAGGCTGAAGCAGGCCACCTACTGCAAGGAGTAGAACTGAACCCAGGCTTTGCTGGCTGCTCAGCCTTGTTCTTTCCAAGGCCCTGTACGAAACGAGGGTGAGAAGGGGACAGAGATGGAGGGTGATGTCTGGAGAAAGCAGAAGAGAAGAATTCCTGACAGTCCCATTAACCCTCAGCTTGACACTGCAATGAGTTTGATTTCCACGATGCAATGGGGTGGCTGATGCTGGGAGCCTCGGGCAGTTAAAGCAGGCATCCTTCTACAAACCCAGGTTGCAGGCACTAGCATCCTAAGGAGACCCTTGTGGGGGGGGGACAGATTTAGATGCCAGTGTTGACTGAGAGAGGATCCCATGCCCCCCTCCTCCATGTCTGGGCAGTGCATGCCCTGAGTATGGTCCCAACACATGGCCTCTCCAGGCCTCAGGTTTCCCTGCACAGGGATGGGGTGTCCTGATCCAAGGGGAGATGCAGACTCCAAACTCACAGGAAAAACTAAGTCACATAAATACGGGAACTGGGACTGGCACGAAATAATATGGAGGGTAGGGCTCTGCGCTAAGCTGGGGGGAAAAGTGTCCACTTCTGAATTCAAACTAAGGGCCGCCAATTTGCAACATTTGCTTTAGTGATTAAGGTCTCTTCTCATAAAGACACTTATATGATTGAGCACTTGCTCTTCGCCAAGTTCTTTCTTCGCAGTAATTTTTATTTTTACTGTAGACATTGTATTGCATTTGTTTGATAGAGATGGGGGATAAGGATAGGGATAAAGATGGTAGAGGCATACATAGAGCTCTCATCCACCAGTTCATTCTCCAAATGCCAGCGATGGCCAGGGTCGCACAGGGGTCAGATCTGGAACCAAGGGCTCCATGCAGGTGTCTCACATGAGTGGCAGGGACCCAATCATTAGAGCCATCACTGCCACCTCCCAGGGTACACTTCAGCAGGAAGTTGGAGTCAGGAGCATGAGCTGGGGAGTGAACGCATGTATTCCAGTGTCAGTGTGGGATGCAGGTATCCCCGTCACCAGTGTAATAAACAATTGCCTCTAATTTTTATTTTTTATAAGTAAAAATTAAAATTGTATTATTTGTACTTTGGAGTAATCCTGTAAGGACAACTATTATATTCAACATATTGGTTTTCATTACTTATTTACTTGACAGGCAAAAGTGACAGAGAGAGAGAGAGAGAGAGAGAGAGAGAGAGAGAGAGAGAGAATCTTCCACTTGCTGGTTCCTTCCCAAATGGGTGCAATGCCCAGCACTTGTCCAGGCCCAAGCCAGGAGCCAGGAGCTCCCTCCTGGCCTCCCACGTGGGTGCAGGGCCCAGGCACCTGGTCCATCTTCTGTTGCTTTCTCACGTTCATTAGTAGGGACTCCAACCAGTGCTCCAATATGGGAAGCTGGCACTGCAGGTCATGGCTTAACGCACCGTGCCACAACGCCAGCCCCATATTATACTTGCGCCCGCTCACTTCCTCACCCATTCACACAGCCATGTCAGAGGCTTCTCGGATGAAATGTACCCACGTCAAACTGTGGAGTCCCCTTCCTTAGACTCATGTCACCCCGTGTCCCCCATCTCTATAAACTTCAGGCAAAAGGGGAAAAAAGATTAGAGTCATCTGGCCCGGTGAAATGCTGGTAGCTTTTCAACATGGGCAAAGTGTGGCCATTGCCAACCTCTGTGGCATGAAGATTCCCACATGGGCAATGCCGAGAGACCCACACGGTGACAACCGGCTCCCCGGTAAGGAGCCCACTCCAGTGTTCTCACCGTGTGAGCTGCAGGCTTCTCTTTCTCTCTCGCTCTGTGCCTCACCCTTCGGTAGCTCCTCGTGGTTGGAGACCAGTCATGTCTCACACCATGGTTCAAGCCACCACCGACTCTGCCCGGGGTTATTGCCGCAGGCTTCCCACTTGCCTGCTTGTTCTGACGCTAGCCCTTTTTGGGCTATTTTGACCCAACCCGCTGAGTGATACTGTTAAAACCCGAGTCAGATCACACTGTGCTGTGTCCATAACTGCAGTCGCTCCATGTTTTATCCAGAGCAAAAGCCAAGTGTCCTCACACAAGGCCCTGTGTGATCTGGCCCTGGTTCCACCTCCTACGGCCCTGCATCCACTGTCCCTGTGGTCCTGTCCATGTGACCACATTGACCTCATAGCTGTTCTGCCAATATTCCATCCTCAGGACCTTTGCACTGGCTCTCTCCTCTCTGCATAGCTCACTCCTTATTCCTCATACTCCTGCCTTGGTTCACGCTCCCCGTAGCTCTCCGCATACCCTATGTAGTGCACACCGTTGTATTGATTGAAGTTTTCCAACTCCTACCTCCTCTACCTGGAATCTCACTTCTGTGAGTACTGAAGGCTGGGTTGTTTCTTCAGTTTTATTCACTGCATGTAGACCAGTGCCCGGCTCTTAGTAGGTGCTCAGTAAGTAGGAAACAATGCAATGAAGCCACTTGTGTGGATCAGACAGTCACGGAGTTTCAAAGTCAGAGTTTGAATGCAAATTCAAGTGCAGCTGGCCATGCTGCACAAGAAGGGGGAAGAAAGGTCAGAGAAAAATATGGAAAGACCTCTGAGAATCTGGGTTCCATTTGTCAATAAACCCATGTTTGTTCCATGCTGAGAAGCCTGGTGGATAAGAGAACAGCAGTGGGGGGGGGGGTGTCCAAGAGAAGGCTTCAGCGCTGTGGCATCGCAGGATTCACCACGGAGGACCCTAGAATCAAGCTCCGTGGAAAGGGAGGCATCACAGGTCCCCCAGTCCAAGGATGCTCAGGTCTGGGAGCCAGGAGAGGTGGGGCTGGGGCGGCCATAGTGCTCTGAACTGGCAAGTCCCAAACCCTAAGCCAAGGGGAAGGCGATTGCAAGACCCCAGACAGGCTGGCCATGGAGCAGACAAGGCTGATCAGATGAGGGGTAGATGGAGAGTTGGATGAAGAGGGCTTGGGCTCCCCCTCCCCGGGGCGAGCCGCGGGCGTCATCGCGGGCATCATGGCTGGGGTCCAGCAGTGAGGCCGACAGAGGCAGCGGCCACATCAGAAGCCGACACGGCACAGGCAAGAGGAAACGCAGGGGAGCCTGGAGGATGGTGCTTCTCACCCACCGCGACCCCGCTCCAGGGACAACTGCCAATGTCTGGAGGCATCCCTGGTTGTGACAGCTGGGGAGTGGGTGGGGGTGCTGCTGTCATCTGGTGGGTAGAGGCCAGGGAGGTATGAAGCCACTTGCAGTGCTGAGGACGGTCCCCACTGCAGAGACCCGCCTGACCCAGACTGCCAACAGTATCCAAGTAGGGAAGCCCTAATCTCCACTGACACACAAGGCACAGAGGGGAGGTGGGCATAGGTGGAGGGGAACAGTGCCCCAGCCCCAAGGAACAGCATGTGCTGGGGCCCAGAGGCAGGCTGTTTGCCCTTGGTATGGAACATTAACTGAGGACTTAGCGCAGCCCAGGCATCTGCAGAATAAGTGTGTGCAGTGGATCCTCTTTCTGCTGCTGTCTCACAAGTGAGCAGGTTGCGATGTGGAGGGGGAGAAGGGTGCCCGGGATAGCCCAGCTAGGAACTGGCAGCGCATAGAGGTCAGCTTCGCTCGATAGCTCTCCACGGTCCTGAAAAGGCAGTGCCTTGTGTCTGGGACCCAGCGAGGCCTCCGTGACGCAGGACAGCTGGGCGGTTGGTGGGAGGAACCGCCAGCAGGGCCTTCTGGGCGGCATCAGGAAGCCTGGCTTCTCCAAACGGGGCAGCACGAGAGGGTTTTAAGCATTTAAAGGGATTAAAGCTTTGCAGAAGGGAGCTGGCTCCTCCGGTCAGCAGCTCGAGGCTCTCCCCCCCTGGAAACTCTGGCGTGCGAGCGACCAGGCGGCATCGACGCTCGGTGCCTCCTCCCTCCCACAGAGGGAGTGAAAATAGCATCTCGCCAGCCAGGGTTATGTGAGGCCCAAGAGCTGCTGCGTTTAATTTATCTTGCTTGGTTTCCACTGACAGTTTTAGTAAACCAATTTGGGTTTGATAGTAAAAATAATTCCATCCTCGGGGGCCCTTCGCACTCCTGGGTGTCTGCAATTGTGTTGTGCACGTCGACGAGGGGAAGGCATTCGC